CTGTCTCTGACCTATATTACCTTTACTTCCCTGAAATTTTTTATAGTTTTTAAAATGCAGTTCTTTTTTACTGGTATTGAATTGTTTGTATCTTCAAAAGTAAATCAAGAGAAAGTTTTGAAAATACAGAAAAATAGAATAAAGCAAATTATGGCACAGAGGGTTCACTATTCATTAGTATTTATTCTCAATCTTCTTCTTTGAGACACTCAAAGCTAGGCTACTCTGAGTGGACTAAGGTTCCCAACCTCCTTCACAGCTGGATGCAAACATGTGGCTATCTTTCTGTTTTTGTTAAGTGCCGTAGAGTCGTAGATGAGTCTTAGTGACCCTATGAAGGAAAGACCTGAATACTTGTATAACTTTCATCGTGAGTTCTCCAAGTCCATAGGGTTTCTGGAGGCAAGCTATTTTGGAAGTGGATGCCACTCCAGTTTCCAAGCTTGTTTTAATTGGGGAACTCCACCAAACACTGTTCATCATGGGTAACCATTATTGTATTTGACACATCGGTGTCACAGTGTTCAGCATCACAGTAACCAAGAGTTACCTCTGTACAGCAAATGAACAGACCAGTGCTACACCGCTTAGAAGAATGTTTGACCAAAAACAATTAAAAGGAGGCCTGAGAGCCGCAGATTAAAATCACCCACCTTTGGCTTGGTAGTATAACTTTCTATCCATTAGGCCAACAGACCTCTCTCATTGTTGTCGCTGTTGTTCTCATAGCCAATGGCCAGTAAACAATGCCCCAGAGTCTCACCAGAACCAGAAGTCAAAGCCTCTGTAAGAGTCAGACTGCTTCAGAATACTCCCCACCTAAATCCCAGACCATTACTGGGGAATAAATGCCTTTTAAAAATACGCCAAATACAATCAGCTTATAGCCAATGGCCAGTAAACAATGCCCCAGTGTCTCACCAGAACCAGAAATCAAAACCTCTGTAGAGTCAGAGGGCTTCAGAATACTCCCCACTTGATGTCAGACCACCTTTCTGTTAGTGGAATGTAAACAAAAATGATGTGTGCAACTTGCACATGGTGTTCTTAATCTTTCCTCCACCCTATTATCTTCATTTTGTTGGAGGGAATGCAAACATCATAGATATGGTAGCTGGCCACCTTGAACCATGCAGACCCAGGCAACTGTCTAGGTATCTCAACAAGGCAGCAGGAGTATGGCTAAGAGGAACTGCAGACACACCATATCAACTTTGGGTTGTGTATACTCACATTATCACATAAGCAATACATACTACTTTCGTCATTTTCGCCTTTATTTTTATTACCATCTCACTTGTGTCATAACGAATAAACAATACACTCTTTCAAGAATTATTTGTGCCATTCACAAAGCTTATAGTCTGTTTACAGAGACATAATAAAAAATATTATCTGCAAAGCTATGTTACTGTGTTCTGCACATGTTACCCATGTTATTCCAGGCACTATGCTTAGTGTTTTGCACAGATTAATTTAGTCAGTCCTCATTGCAGCACTCGTGGGAGACTCTGGGTGGTGTAAATGGTTAATACACTCAGTTGGTAATGAAAAGTCTGGAGGTTCAAGGCCACTCAATGGCATTCGGGGAAAAAAGGCCTAGGGATCTACTTCTGAAAATCAATCACTGAAACGCTGTGGAGCAAGGTTCCGCTCTGACAGATAAACGATAGTCACAGGCCGGAATTAACTTCACAGCATCCATTAGGCAAGCACTCTGCGACTTACTGATTTACTACCCCTACATTGGCCAGGAGGTTGACCTACAGGAAGGTTACTGACTAGTCCTTGGTCATACAGGACACAAGGAGTGGCAAAGGGGTTTGAACTCACATCTCGTTATCTCTTATAAATGAGGACCTCCCATCATTTCATTCCACTTCCCAGGACAAGACCTATGCTCTAGAGCATTTCATGACATAGGCAGAGACCAGGAAGGCTGAGTTCCTTAGCATGATAAAGCAACTACAAAGATCTGAATAAAAAGCTGAGACAAAACACGAAAGGAAAAGCTGTTACTGTTCTTGGGGGAAAATACAAAGTGAAAGACCTCATGAGAAAGAAGAGTATAAACATTTTGTGCCCAGGTTTACAGGGTTGGGGATAGTCAGACACTCAACGTCAAGAGTTCAAAGGAAGGGAGCTCTGGTGGCCTAAGGGCAAAAAGCTGCATTGCAATCCCAAAGAACCATGCATTGCATGGTTCTAATCCACCAGATGCTCTGCTGGAGGAGGGGCAAGTCAGTCAGATCTGATTCGATGATACAAAAAACAACATAAAAAAAAGAAAGAAAAAAGAGTACAAAGGATACTGAAAGTTATTGAATGAGATTATATTGAAAATAATGGTTGCTAACACTTGCTATTATGTACTATTTTAAGTGTTTTGTAAAACTCAGTGTTCATACCAACCTTAGGAGGTAGAGATTACCTTAATTTTACAGATGAGAAAACTTGGGAACACATGAGTGTTAAGTCTTCACACCAGATGTAAGCAAGGACTCAAGGAAGGGACCAGAGAGAAAGAGAAAATGCTTAAAGCAGCTTTATTAAGGGGACTCCAGGGTGAGATTCCTTGGGTGTGGGGGGGGGGGAGGGGGAGAGGAGAGGGAGAGGGAGAGGGGAGGAGAGGAGAGGAGAGGAGAAGATAAGAGAGAAGAGGAAAATCTTTGGGGCAGGTTTTTATAGCATTGTCTTTAGGGAGGGAAGGGAGGGACATTCCATTGTGGTTTAGCCAAGTGGGCGAGTTTTTGCCCAAATAAGTAAGGGATTATATTAAATTGTTGCATATACATAGATCTATCATTTAATCTCCAGCCTTAATTCTGTCAACAAGGTCTTGTTTGACAACAGTTTGACTTTTGCATCCTGACTGCATGTTTGATCAGTTTTTAGACTGCTGGAAAAAGGTGGTGGTGGTGGTGGTGGTTGTTGAGTAGCACGGAGTCAGAACCAATTCATAGCTGGCCCTACAGTGGGGTTTCAGAGGCAGTAAATCACATAGCTGGGGAAGACTGTCCATCATTCTCCCATGGAGGAGCTGGTGGATTCAAACTGTGTGCCTTAGGGATTGCAGTGCAGCTCCTTACTACTAGGCCACCAGCACGCCTCAATTTCTTCTTGACTTTAGTGGTTGGTATACTTGAATTTATTGCAATTTTGATTGCAGAAAGTGACTAAGACTAGAAGCCTTCAGTATGGATTACACCTCATAAAGAAAACAAAAATCCTCACTACTGGAACAAATAGGCCACATCAAGATAGATGGAGAAAAGACTAAAGTTGTCAACAATTTTACTTGGGTCTACAGTCAACATCCACGGTAGTGGGGCAGTGAAACAATGCACAGAAGTGTTGCTCTGGGGAAATCTTCTGCCAAGGACCTCTTTAAAGCGCTCAAAAACAAAAATGACAGTTCAAAAGACTAGGATGTGCCTGATTCAAGCCAGAGGATTTTCAATTGCTTCATATGCATATGAAAGCAGGACAATGAACCGAGAGGGCCGTAGAAAGGATGCCTTCTAAGCCTTCTAACCGGGATGTTGGTGAAGAGTACTTAATATCCCAGGGACTGCCAAAAGAACAAACAAAAGTAGGAGGAAGTACAAGGATGGTGAAACTTTGTTTCACATACTTTGGGCACGTTCTTGGGAGGCATCAGGCCATGGAAAAAGACATCATGCTTATAAAAGTTGAGGGTCTTTGGAAAAAACGCTTTCAACAAGAGAAACTGACACATGATTGTAATAATGTACTTTTAAACACAAAAGGGATACCATGCAGATTCTTCCTGCTTTCATTTTTAAAAACGTAAAACATAAAATCAATAAATCTTTCTAATATTGATGTATACAGTTCAGTATATACAGTTCTAATTTTTTTTTTAAACTAAGGCCCGATATGGTTTGATTTGGGGTGATATCCCTCTATAAAACAGTCCTTGATGCGGTAATATCAGGGATTTACATCGTCCCTCTTTTTTCTCCAGGTACAAGCATTCTCTTGTTTCAATCACATGTCTAAAGTCTGGCGTCTCATCTGATATCTTTTTTTTTCTTAAGATTTTTTTAAAATTTTTATTTATTTATTTAGTGTGTGTGTGTGTGTGTGTGTGTGTGTGTGTGTGTGTGTGTACAGCAGAGCATCTGGTGGATTTGAACCGCGCACCTCTGGGATTGCAGTGCAGTTTCCTGCCACTATGCCACCAGAGCTCGCCTCATCTGATATCTTGGTGGTTGTGGCAGCAGAAAGTCTCTGATGCTTCTAGGAAACTCACAGCGAAGCGCCACCCAGGTTGACTCCCCTTCCAGCCACGCGCCCGTGACCTCTCCCTGCCAGGGAGCCCAGAAATCGCCACTTGTCACCCCGCCAGCAGGCCGGGATCGGCTCCAGGCTCCGCCTAGCCTCGAACTCCGCCCCTCTGGGCGCGCACCACCAACCCGCTCTCCACGTGTACAGAACCACGCAGTCTAGCCCAGAACTCCGCCCACCGCTAACGTCGCTCCGCCGTGACCACGCCCAGTCCACACCTAGCTCGGTCCGCCAGAAACTTCCCCAAACTTTTCTGTCACTCTTGAACTCCACCCACTGAGTCCATTCCCCAAAGCAGCACCGGCGGCGGCACCTCCAAACCTCACTCACTTGACCCTAACCTCCACGCGCTGGGAATCTGCAGCGTTTGTCTCACTCCGAAATCTGCTCACACAAACTTGGACTCCGCCTACTCCGCCACGGCTCCACCACTTGAGAACAGCCCCGCCTGCTCATAGCTCCGCCCACCCTGCCCAGGACTCCGCGCGCTGAGGACACGTGCTTTTTACCGCCTCCGATGCCCCGCCCACAGGGGAGTAGCACCGCCCACAATTCTAGGCCACGCCCACACATGCCTACGTTCTGCGCAGTTTCTCCGCTCGCCGTACGCCGGCTCCGCCTCTGGCTCCACCCCGCGGGTTGGTGCGGACAGTCGGCTCCATGCCCGGCCTCTTCCCGGGCCTGCCGCCATGGAAGAGGATGTTCCCGCCGCCGCCTCCCGCTACCAGCCGGCCAGCCCCCCGCGGGACTCCTGTGCCTACAGCAGCTGCTACTGGTGAGCGCGGACGCAGATCCCCGAGTCTCCTCCAGGCTCGCCCGACCGGGGCTGCCGGCGGGCCCGCCTCTTTCTGGCCGTGCCCGGGGCGCCCGGGGCCTCCACTGGCGATTTTCCCGTGTCCGGGAGGAGGGAGCGAGTATGGCAGCCCTGACCGCTGGGGTGGGGCGGTAGCTGGACGAGGGGGCTAGGTCGGGAATGTCAGAATCCGTGCTGACTTGACTCCTGATTGGCGCTTTTTGGGGAGTTGGAGATGAAGGGTGGAGCAAGGGCTGGGAACCACTGGAAGGGACGCAGCTGAAGCCTGTGCGGTTTTGGGAAGGCTGTTTTTATTTCGGAGGAGACTGGAGGCGAGGCACAGAGTTGGAAGTAACGTTTCCGACCCTGTCCAGCAAATAACAGCCTGGAATCCACTCCAGGCCCTCAGGCACCATAACCCACGGTCTTCACCTCTATGCTGTTATTACACTGTGCTTGCTGTGCTGATGTAACTCTTCTGGACCTTACAGATAGGTCACGTTAAATAGAGCAGTTCAATGTCGTTGACCCCCACTCCTGATCACCCCGGGTGTGCTAGAGTAGAACTGTGCATTATGGGGCTCTCAGTGAGAATTTCTGCAAGTCAGTCAAGGTACTGTTGTTTCCCTCACTTGAAAGATGGGGACTCTGAAATAAGAGGGGCGCAGTACTCTCCCCAAGGCCAAGTTTACTGTGAGTTTAGGAATGTGGACTTACATGCAGAGATAGCTCTGGAGTGCTTGTACTTCACACCAGTCCTCAAACTCAAAATTCATTGCTATCAAGGTGGGGATAGTTCAGTATTGATTAAAAATTTATAAAATGTAATGAATAGGAATGATTGTATGAAACACCATGTGAACAAAGGATAGTGTGGAATACAATGTATGAAACCTTGTAAACAAATCAATATAAAATTTTTTTTAGGGAGCTCCCCAAATAAAACAAGCTTGGAAGCAGGAGTGGCATCCACTTCCAAAATAGCTTGCCTCCAGAAACTATGAACATGGAGAAACAATGAAGGTTATACAAGTGTTCAGGTCTTTCATTCACATAGGGTCACTATGAGTTGTCTATGACTCGACAGCACTTAAGAACAACGACAACAACAACAATGAGAGAGCTCTTTTGGCCTAGTGGATAGAAAGTGATGCTACCAAGCCAAAGGTGGGTGATTTTACTCTGCGGCCCTCAGGCCTGGTTTTTGGTCAAACCTTCTTCTAAGTGGTATAGAATTGGTCTGTCCATTTTCTGTACAGAGGTAACTCATGGTTGCTGTGATGCTAAACACTGTGACACTGAAGTGTCAAATGTGGTTATGGTTACCCATGGCGGACAGTGTTGGGTGGAGCTCCCCGATTAAAACAAGCTTGGAAGCAGGAGTGGCATCCACTTTCAGATTGGCTTGCTTCCGGAAACTATGAATTTGGAGAAATGATGAAAGTTATACAAGTGTTCAGGCCTTTTGTTCATAGGGTTGCTATGAGTCATCTATGACTTGAGGCACTTAACAACAACACAACAACATAGGGTTGCTGTGAGTCGCAAGTGACTTGACGGCACATAACAACAACAAAAAATTATTGCTGTTGAGTTGTAACTGACTCATAGCTGACTCTCCAGTGGGTTGGTTTTCAGGAGCCTTTAAGTCTCACAGGAAGAGATTGCCCATCCTTCTCCTCTGGAGTCACTGGTGGATTCGAATTGCCAGAGGCGTCTCCTTTGGATTAGCAGTGCAGCTTCCTGATCCAGTCCCTCGTGGTGCAGTGGTTTAAGTGCTCAGCTGCTACTGGAAAGGCGAAGTGCAAAGCCAACCAGCAGTACTTTGGAAGAGAAGGCCTGGTGACCTGTTTTCACCGAGACTACAACCCAGATGATGATGGGACATTTCTGCCCACTATCACATGGCAGTTACCGGAAGAATAGATACCCATGGCAACTAGCTACAGCAGGCCCCCTCTGCAGCTGAAGCATCTTCCTTTCCCTCAGTAGTGATTTACTGCTCCCCAGCCCCTTCCACATGTAACCTGAGGGCCCCCCCAAATTCCCCACCTCCTTTCAGCAGAAAGGAGGCCCAAACCTGGGCCTTCAGCACTTGTTTGGCTCTGACTGGGTGTAAATCCCAGTGCCAAGCATTTCCATGAATTTTCTCAGCAAAATATCAGAACCAGCCAATGAGATAGGCTCTGTTAGCTTCATTTTACTAATGGAAAAACAGCTCTTGAGAGGCTAGTATTTTCCTAAGATTGCACACTTAGCAGATAATACCAGTTTTTAACGAATTCCACTTTATATCTACTTCTCAACCATCTAGTTAATTCTTGTCACTAACATTCAAAGAATACAGCCTTCAATAGGGTTTGCATCTCAATGTCAAGAAAATCAAAGCTCTTACCATATGATAGTCAGCATCCTGGTTGATGGAGAAAAGATTGAAGTGTCAATGATTTCATCTTACTTGGATCCATAATCAACACCTTTGATACTAGAAGTCAGGAGATCAAGAAATGTATTGCACTGGCAAAGTCTGCAGTCAGAGACCTCTTCAAATTATTGAGGACAAATGATGTTGGTTTGAGGACTAAGATGCATCAGATTCAGACCATGGTCTTTCTGATCACTTGCATCTGAGAGCTGGACAGTGAATAAGGATGACAGAAGAAGAATTGATGCCTTTGAGCTGTAGTGTTGGAGAAGATACTGAATATCCCATGGACGGCCAAAAGAATAAACAAATACATCTTAGAGAAAGTGCAGCCAGAGTGCTCCTTAGGGGCAAAGGTGATGAAGCTTTCTCTCACATACCTCAGGCATGTTGCTAGGAGAGGCATTTCTTGGAGGAGGAACATCATGCTTGGAAAGGTGGAGGGTCGACAAAGGAGAGGAAGACCCTCAGCTAGATGGAGTGACTGCTGCAGTGGTCTTGTGTGTGCCAGAAAGTGTGAGGATAGCTCGGGAGAGGACACAGTTCAGATCTGTTGTTCACAGAGTCACTCTAGGTCTTGCTCGACTTGACAGCACGTAACAACAACGACATTCATTCAGCTTAAATGATATCCCCACGTAACTGTCAAGTGATTGAGAATCATGGCCCAGCCACGGTGACACATAATTTGAGGGTGAGGGAGAGACACATTTCAATCCAGACAGTTAATGCCTCAGATGCTATGTAATACTGGAGTATTTCAGGAGGACTTTGCTCGTAGATGATAATGAAACAGAAATCTGATGAAAACCAGTTTGGAGCTTTGTAGCTATTGAGAGGATGGCCATTGCAGGCAGGCAGAACAGCAGGTGCAGACGCCTTGAGGGAGTGTGTGAGTATTCTGGGAACAGCGAGGAGGCTGCTGCATTTGGAGCAGAGCGAGTGGTAGGAGATGAACATCTCATTAATAGCACGTCTCCTCTGTTCCTTCAGCCTTAAGCCAGACCCTCCTCAGCTGTCATGGAAACTGTTCCGGTAGATTCTAGCAGGCCTTTGCCCAGCTCTCCCCCATTCAACCAAATCTTTCCAACCATGGTGGTTTCCACATTGCTCAGAGCAGTTGTAAATGTGAATGTGTCCAAAAAAAATCACCTGTTGAAAAACATGCAGGTCTTATGAACTCACCACAGAGAGTTAAGAAACAAAGGGAGGTATTGAGGCTGGTCTGTTATGAGGAACACAGGACTAGAAAATAAAGTCTGTCTGCTGACTGCAGTAAACTCTCCAAGATCTTGTCTCTGTCTGTTCCTTGAACCTTAAACCTTTTTTCTCTGCTTGCTGGTGGTCTTGTTGGTAAGGAGGTGCATTGCCAACCTAGAGGCAGGAGGTTCAAATCCAGCTGCTGCTCTGTAGTAGAAAGATGGGCATTTTCCACCCATTTGATTTCCAACCTCTGAAATCCACTGAAGGGTCAGCTGTGAGTCAGTTCTGACTCAGTAGCAGTGAGGGGTTCTGGTTTTAATTGTGTGTGGCTTGTTTTCCTCTCTGCCCTACCTTAAGGCTTGTCATCTGTGTCATGCAGACCTGCCGACAATCTGGACTAACAGTTCTTAGCTGGGGGGCTGTATCGTGCATGGTGGGTGTATAGCAGCATCTTGGTGGAAGGAAGAGGAACAGCCTCCTGTGAGATTTACTGCCTCTGAAAACTCCTGAGGGTCAGCTGTGGGTTGGTTCCCACTCAGTACGTGATGACAACAGCAGCGTGCTCGGCCTCAGCTCTTTTTTTTTATTTTTTAAATTATTTTTGTGTGAGTGTACCGTCAAATCAGATCTGACTGGTACAGGAGGAGATTGTCCCTCCTTCCCTGGCAGAGCATCTGGTGGATTCGAACGGTGTGCCTGTGGGATTGTAGTTGCAGGCCTCAGCTCTTTTACTGTCAGTTCCCCACCCACCTCATTGCTGGCGTGTTGATTCCAACTAACAGGACAGAGTGGACCTGTCCCGTGAGGGTATCTAAGCCTCTTAATCTTTATGGAAGCTGATGGTCACCTTTCTCTCCAGCAGAGTGGCTCATGGGCTCTAGTTGCGGGCCTTTGGGTTAACAGCTGAGCACTTAACCACTGCACCACCAGGGATCCTTACATGCCGGGAACATCATTCAGCCAGCTACTGCCTCTGCTGCTCTCCCATGTCTGATTGCTTCCCAGAGTTACTGACTGCTTTTACTCCGGCAGGAGCTGCCTTGAAAGAAATGCTTGTTTCCTGCTTCTGTTAACTACTGTCAGATGCTACTTACTTTTTAAACCTCACTTAGAAGAAAACCAATTTCTGGCATGGCGATTCTTGCTCCTGACAGCCTCATCTGTGTCCAAGTAGAACTGTCCACCACAGGCTTCTTTAATGGCTGGTTTTCCAGATTGCCAGGACTTTCTTCCGAGGTGCCTCTGAGTAACTTTGAATTGGCAGCCTTTTTCCTTACCATGTGCACGGTCCAAGGATTCTGTAATGGTGATGTGGTTGTGAGGTTTATTCCAATTCAAAATGACCCTGAGCGTACAAAGAAAGGAAATGCTTTATCGGGCTTTCAAAGCCCTCATGTTTTCAAAGCAGATTGGTAGGCCTGTCGTTTGAGGCATTTGAACTGCTAACAGTTGAGCATTTAACAATATGTGTCTTCCAGGGACCCCTTAATGGTAATACCCTTTGCTGTTGGGTTGACGGACTTGTAGCGACACTATAGGTCAGAATAGAACCACTCCGGAAGGTTACCAGAGTTACACAGCCTTACATTTTGATATTGCAGAGCAGCTGGTGAGCTTGAACTGCTAACCTTCTGGTTGGTAGCTGCGGGTGCCTGCTTAGTGTATCCGTGGTGCTCGTTGGTCTGGTAGCATGGTCTGTAGTGGATTGCGTTGCTGACCTAAAGGCTGTGCTTCGCTGGTGGTTCAGAGCCTCCAGCAGATCCTAGGAGCAACCGTGAGCAGTCAGTCTCCTACGTAGTTGACAGTCTTGGAAACTCACGGCGTCGCTCCGAGTCAGAACTCCCTGGATGCCGGTGTTTTAGTCTTCTTGGTGTGGTTTGCAGAGGACTCCCACTTCTGTTTTAATAGTTTTGTCTTTTTCAAACATTTGTTGAGCACTTCAGCTCGCTTCTGGTACAGGATCCTGAACCTTCTGTTTGTCAGCCTTTTCTGTTATTACGCTGGTCAGCCGGCAGGCGGGGACGGTTGTCATTGCTGGTCAGCCAGCAGGCTGGAATGGTCTTGTCATCACTGGTCATTGCTGGTCATCTGGCAGACAGAGACAGTCTTGTCATAGGTGGTCAGTTGGCAGGCTGGGATGATCTTGTCATTCCTGGTCAGCCTGCAGGCTAGGATGGTCTTGTCATCACTGGTCAGCCCACAGGTTGGGATGGCCTTCTCAGTGCTGGTCATTGCTCGTCAGCCAGCAGGCTGGGATGGTCGTGTTGTAGCTGGTCTGCTAGCAGGCGGGGACAGTCTTGTCAGTGCTGGTGGTCATGGCTGGTCAGCCGGCAGGCGAGGATGTTTTCATCTTCTTTGTGGATTATCTAGGTGCCAGGCAGACATTAAGTCAGGAGTTCCCTCTGTGTCCTCCAAATTTATTTCTCTTTTCTTTTTATTTTTAAACATTAGGAGTTTCAGGAGATCCTCACATGAGGTTAATTGTACTCTTGAAAAGAAATTGCTACTATGGACTTAAAATTCAGTAACTTTTACTTTTTAAAAAAAATAAAAGTAACATTCGCCCATGTTGGAAAAATGAGAGACAGTGCTGTTCAAACTACATTATGCATTCAGTCTGCCAGTAGTGTTGGATTCCTGGGGCTCATAAAGTCTGTGCACGAACTCTGCCTTCCCCCCATCCTGCCCCGAGAATCGCGGAACCACCTGACCTGTGTACGACCTCCGAGTTCTTGTCTTCCTCGAAACCAGTGGCTTCCTTCCGCCTCTCTGCTTTCTGTGCACATGTTTTATGACCTCCTGTTATGCATGCTGTTTATGGATTTTCATCTCTCCTCTTACTGTCCTTATGCTCTTGATTTACCATTGTATTCCCAAGCTCTCTGCATAGTGCTTTGTATGTCATAGACCCCTGAACCTGTGGTCAGCTCTCCGTAACTCCTGTAGGCTGGGCAGATAAATGCCTTCTCAAAATTCAGTTTTAGAGGTAAACAAGAAAACTTTGCTGCTACATGCCTTCTGTTCTCAGGTGATGCAAGCAGTCAGCACATAATATTAATTTAAAGATTGATAGTTCAAACCTGCCCAGCAGCTCCACAGAAGACAGGTTCAACAGTCTCCTTCTGTCAAGGTTACTGCCAGGAAAACCCTGTGGAGCAGTTTTATTCTGACACACAAGTGGGAGCCATAAATAGGAATGGACTTAGTGGCTTTGGATTTGGTTTGCGTTTTTTATTCCTCCTGGGCGCTCACCATCCAAGCATGGTGTCTTTCCTACAGGCCCATTATACTCAGAAAAGGAGAGGAAGACCCTCAACCAGGTGGATTGACACGGTGACTGCCACAGTGGGCTCTAGTGTGTCAGGAAGTATGAGGATGGCACAGAATATGACAGGGTTTAGATCTATCTGTTCATAGGGTCACTATGAGTTGTAATCGACTCAATGGCACCTGACAACAACAACGACAGGGAGCTCTTGAAAAAAGTGCAACCAGAGTTCTCCTTATAGTCAGAGATGGTGAAGCTTCGTCTCTCATACTTTGGCAGTGTTGCTAAGAGAGGCTTTTCTTTCGGAAGGGACATCATACTTGGAAAAGTGGAGGGTTAATGAAGAGGCAGATCCTTGACAAGATGGGTTGACACAGTGAGTGACTGCAGCAGTGGGCTCAGGTGTGTCAGGTGATGAGGGTGGAACAGGATAGGACAGGGTTCAGGTCTGCTGTTCACAGGGTCACTAAGACTTCTTGACTTGATGGCACCCAATAGCGACAACAACAGCAACAACATGCCTTGGAGAGGGTGCAGCTGGAGTGCTTTGGAGGCAAAGATCATGAGGCTTTGCCTCACATATTTTGGGCATGTTGCTAGGAGGGTCTGTTTCTTGGAGAGTGACATGATGTGTGGAAGGATGGAGGGTCAGCGAAGGAGAGGAAGACCCTTGTTCAGGTGGATTGACACGGTGGCAGCCATAGTGGGCTCTAATGTGTGAGGAATTGTGAGGATGGCACAGGATAGGACAGAGTTCAGATCTGTTGTTATAGAGTATCTATGTCGTATTTGACTCGTCAGCGTCTAACAATAACAACAGTAGGTAGTTCTGTGGCTTGTTATGTGCTGTTGTGTCACAAAAGACAAATTGCACTGGGAAAATCTGCGATCAGGGACATCTCCAAAGTACTGAGAAGGAATGATGCCAGTCTAGAGACTAAGGTGCGCCTGATCGAGGCCATGGTCTTCGTAGTTACTTGCTGTGCGTCAGAGAGCGGGCGGCTTAGAGGTAAGGAATTGCATTACCAATGTAGAAGTGTATGGTTTCAATCCACGAGCTGCTCCGTAAGAGAAAGGTGGGCAGTCTCCTCCTGTATAATTTACTGCCTCTGAAAACCATCTGAAGGGTTTAGACTCAATGGTAAAAACATGCACTGAGATGTAGTGAAGCTGTTAATAGTTTTTCCTTCTTCACATCAATAGAGACCTTCTGTTATCACCATGACCCCCACTTCTTCCTTGTAGGTTTTAGATCTCTTGTCAAAAAGCAAAGCTGCAGAGGCGAAGCCCAGCATTGGTGTTTTAAGTGTTGTGTCAAGCCTTGAGATCAAGTCTGCCTGGCCGAGGCTTGTGAGCTGGAAGTACGTATTTCAGTAAAAGGGCAGTGGCCCAGAGTGCTGTTTGTGTCTCTGTCATTTTGAGATGGCACGGTGTTATGAGTTGTGTATCAGAGGGTTGGTGTTGTGCAGTTTGGATAAAGGTGCTGTGTGACTCTTGAGCAAAGGACAGGAGCTGGGAAGCGTCTTCGTATCCTGTGCGTGGGAATGGCCCTGTTACAGTCCCCCTTGCTGTCCTGATGTTGCTTCACTCAGGCAGCTTCTGATTGCTGTTTCCAATAGCTAAGGACCTGTCATGTGGAAGGGTGATTCGTCTGGTGCATACCAGGTCTGCCAGGGGCACCCCAACCACGTCAGTTCTTGTGGGTTAGTTCTGACTCCTCGTGCCCCCATGCGTGTCCCAGTAGAACTGTGCTCCACAGACTCTTCAGTGGCTCAGGTTTTGGAAGCAAATCACTCAGCTTTTTATTCTCGATGCCTCTACATGGACTCAACCTCCAGCCTTTCATTTAGCAGTTGAACACATTAGCTGATTGCACCACCCTAGGACTCCAGGAAAAAGAACTTCTTAAAAGTGAGAACTTCTGTCAGAGGCCTCTCCCCCCCAAAAAAAATCTGGACATGCCACACAGGATTCTCTTGACCCTTTACAGTCAGGAGCTTTCCTTCCCAGATACCTTTCCTGCATCCGTCCTAGAGGGAGGGAAAGATCAGCGCTAACAGACTTGCTGTGTACAATATGATGTAGTCATACCCATTTTACAGATGAGAAAGTAAGTACACAGGTCAGGATGTTCAAAGCATCTTCCTTTTAAAGTGGACAGGTTGGAATCCCAGCACTCTTTGCATCCTAGATGCAAAGCTTAGAGGACATTGACGTAGCACTTTCTCACTTGTGAACTGGCTGTCTGTGCTGACACTGCTCTGGGACGTGAACACTGTGTCTGGGGGCTAGAGGGTGTCCTCACACGGTATAGGCTGGCTAGCAGCCTGTTGCCTCTAAGTCTTTGAAGAAATGCAACCCGAGTGCCCCTTCGTAGCAAGGATGGAGCAATGCCAGCTGGCTTAATTTGGACACATCATCAGAAAAGACCAGTTGCTGGAAAAGGACCTCAGGGCTGGAGAATTAGAGGGTCAATAAAAATGAGCAAACTTCTCCATGGGATGGATGGACACCAGAGCCACACCGGCGGGCTCAAAGCAGTGATCGTGATGACATCCAGGACTGGGCAGCATTTACCACGTACATACTGTGTCTGTGACTTGGAACGACTCAGCCGCTAACGCTAGCAGATTGTAGGTTACACGTTAGAGGAGATTCAAATGTTAATCCTTAGATGAGGTGGTGATGGGGCGTAGGGTTTCTTCGGACTTTTCCATGGTGTCATCAAACTTGTTCCAGTTGAAAAGATACATTTAACATTTTTTAAAAAATGATGCTGAGTATTCTATTTTTATTATTGTTATCTGATTATTTTGTTTTAGTGAAGAAAATGTTTGGAAGCTCTGTGAATACATAAAAAACCGGGACCAGTACCCTTTAGAAGAGTGCTTCGCCGTCTTCATTTCTAACGAGAGGAAGATGGTAAGTTGGTGAAAGAGCGAAGAAAGGAGACTAGAGGTTTAGGATGAAGTCCAAGCTAAACCCCACAGGGGCTTAGAACCGTTCTGAAATGTGCGTGAGAAGATACAGCGACACTTTAAAGTTTGGTTTTGAATGAGATTTTTTTCCTTACAGGGCACGGTTGAGTCAGAAGAGTTTAGTCCCTTATTTTTAGGTAAGGAAATATCTGATGGTCTGTGTCCAAAGATTAAACTCCTTGCATAGTATTAATTCAGGGTTCTTGTGATCGCTTAGATTAGCGAGCACCAGACACTCCTGGGTTTGAAGTAAGGAATTCTGGGAAGTTTGGGGAAAAAACCCAAAAAACGGAGGAGCCCCTTCATGGTTCATAAAGCATTTTAATAATCCTGGGCTCATTTCTTCTTAGAAGCTCTGTGAAGGAGGCAACTCTCAGATAAGGTCAGTTTATAGATGAGGAAATAGAGAGCCCAGGAGGGCCATTGAATGCTTGCATCAGCCATTGCCAGGTTTCGTGAATAATTAAGTAGGAATGCAAGACTTGAGCCTGCTCCTTACTTGGCTCCTTGTAGACCCTTCCTACTCTAAAAAATATATATATATATTGTAAAATTATTATTTTTTTTTTAAATTTAAAGCCACTTGGAGAATTTGTATTTCTTCTCCATTTGTTCTTTGTCTTCAATTGTTGATCGCTTACTCAATGTTTTCCTGTCTGATTTACATGATGCCGTAAAGGAATGCAGTGGTTGTGCTGAAGTTTTGGCTCATTAAAGCTCCCTGTTTTCTAGATACCCATCTGGAAGCAACAGGCGAGACCTGGAGACGGGCCTGTGATCTGGGTAAGATGGCCAATTTGGAGCCTATAGGCATTGCTGCATACCATCCCCAAGAGGTCTCTAAGTTTTAGTAAAGTAGAAATGATTGGGGTGTAGAGGATAGCTGTGACAGTTGTTAAGAAATCAGTCTTCATGAGAATAGGCATGATTTGTTCTGAGGCAGAAGCACGTACAGGAATGAATGTTTAACTTTTTATTTAGAAATTATTGTAAGGATGGTTTAAATGGCAGATGTGGAAGCTCTATTTATGATCACCTGGACTCTGACCCCAGGAGGCCTGGTGGCATAGTGCTGACCAGGTGGTTGGCAGTCCCAACCCACCAGCTGTCCAGTGGAAGAAAGATGGGCAGTCTCCATCCGTAAAGATTTACAGTCTCAGAGACCCAGAGGCAGCTTGCTTTGTGTTGGAACTGATGGACAGTTGTGGGCTTGGTTTTTAGACCTTGTCTACTTACCACTGGAAGGAACTTGAGTGATATCAATCCCGCTACATATTGGAATGATCCAGACAGTGTGCGAAAAAGATTTGACTTAGTGGAGCTCTGATGGCTTAGTGGTAGGGAATTGTACTGCCAGCACTGAGGAGGTATGTGGTTCAAATCCACCAGCTGCTCCACAGGAGAAAGATGGGCAGTTTTTCCTATTTGATTTGCTGCCTCTGAAAACCTGCTGTGGTTTGGTTCCACATTGAAGGCACACAGCAACGACAAAGGGGTCAAGGTGTCATCGTCACAGCGAGATTTATTTTCTCAGTGCATCCCTCTCTCCTCAGGGGACCCTGAGTGGAAGGACTTGGTGTTTTTCATCTTTGTGTCTTTAGTTAAATTGTGCAGTTTCCAGTAAATAAAAGAGAATCCAAATCCACTGTCTGCAAGTCATTTATAACTCATAGGAACCCTGTAGGATAAAGGAAGGTTTCAGATATTTAAAAGTAAAAAAGGAGAGAGAAAACAACGAAAACCAGCTGTAACATGAGATAGAATAGAGGGAGTTCAGAGAAAACCAGGCAGAAGTTACTTCTGTTAGGAGATGAGGGAGATAGAAAGGACCCTGAGTGTGGGAGGGCTGTATGCGCCCAAGCCAGCATAATGGTTTTGTGGTGAGAGGTGGAAATAGTGTTGCAGATGGGGGATACTGTGAGCCCAGTGGAGGAGACAGGCTCCCGTCCATTTTTCTGATGGGTGAGATGTGTTAGGGAGAACAGAGAGGATAACGTCCATTTCTGATGCTGTTTCTGTTTCACTGAGACAGAACCAGAGCTGAAGGAAGCACTTCAGGCTCTGATGGTACAGCATCTCCGGTCGCTGCAGTGGAATTAACACACACTGTGATGGAGCTGTGCAGAAGTGCCATCTGCCTCCCTCCCCGTCAGTGGCCGCAGGTTTAGCGTGTGGCTGACTTTTAAAAAAACACCTATTAGATATATTTTTTTTAAGGTAAAATGTAAAGGCACACTTATTAGAAAGTTACATCCCAGAGGCTCAGACCTCCTTCCTTGAAAGGAAGTATGGCGGAGTGGCCAGAAACACCTCTTAGATTTTAATGACAAGAGTAGAAAAATAGTACTTGTGTGATGCCTTTGAGCTGTGGTGTTGGAGAAGAGTATTGAATATACCATGGACTGCTAAGAAAATGAACCTGGAGAGGGTTCTGGGGCTTCGTCTCACATATTTGGACATGTTGCGAGGAGGGACCAGTCCTTGGAGAGGGATGTCATGCTTGAGAGGGTGGAGGGACAGCACAGGAGAGGAAGACCCTCGATGAGATGGATTGATTCAGTGACTGGGGTTATGGGGGTAGGTGAGTCAGAGACAGTGAGATTGGCACAGGATAGAGCAGGGTTTAGGGCTGTTGTACATAGGGTTGCTATGAGTCGCAGGCGACTTGATGGCATATAACAACAGCAACAAGAAGGAAATATAATAAACATGACATAGGAAGTATAATAAAGCCCTCTGTCTCCTCTCCAGCCGACCCCACTAAGTCCCTTCTTTAGGACAGATTTACTGATCTTATTGAGAGGATGTGACTGCACAGTTATGGTCCCTGAATACCCTTCCCACCTGGAGGTAAATGCACTCCTCTGAGTGAACCGTAATACTCATGAGGAATGTGTTCCTCAGAATAGTCCATCATCTGAGACCAACAGGGCAGCATTTGCTCAAAAACAAAGCTCAGAGTGACAGAACAGGAGGAAAGAAGGATGAATGGAAGTGGAGTACTGAGGGAGGGAGTGGGACGAGTGCTGTTACCGTCAGGAGAAGCAGCTAAGGTCAAGAAGCAAATTGTGTATAAATATTTTAATGTAATTGTAAGCTTTCACTCAAATCACAAGAAGATGTTTGGTGTTTTTGTTTTTAAAAGACCAAAAATCTCTTCCTTTTTGGAAAGTTTGGAAGATGCTCTTGAGGATATTGTTCTATGCATTCATCTGTGTCCTTGTGAATATAGGGCTTTAAAAATATAGGGAGCTCTGTTGGTCTAGTGGCAAGAAGCTACACTGCAATTCCAGAGGTACACAGTTCAAATCCACCAGATGCAGTACTGGAGAAGAAGGGGCAATCTCCTCCTGTACCAGTCAGATCTGATTTAATGATACACACACACAAAATAATAATAATAAAATTTAAAAAAACCAACAAACTGTACTTATTCTGCAGTTTACTTGTTCTAGGTGGGTAATTGTTCTGCCAACATAAAGGCAAGTGGCTTGAATCTATCACCTGCTTCTTGGGAAAAAGATGGGCAGTCTCCTTTTGTGCAATTTATAGCCTCTGAAAACCCACTGGAAAACCAGCTATGAGTCTGTTCCAACTAGACAATACATCAAAACAACAACAACAGTAACTATAGATGTTTTCCTCTAAATTTACCTGGTTCTTTTAGCAGCTGCATAGCTGATTACCTGGCTGTATTGTAGTTCATTGTCATTTTCCTTCAGATGGGCTTCCTGTTGTTTATGAATTTTCACTGTTACAAACACTGCGGTAGGGAGTCTTATTTACATATAACTTTTCATGCTTGCTTTTTTCGGTAAGGTTAATTCTTAGAAGGAAAATTAGAGGTAGGTCAGAAGATCTTCTTTATATCCATCTCATCATTTCCATTATCTGTTTAGTAATTCCTTGTCACCAGACATTTAGTCTCTTTTCAGGGTTTTATGTTCATTATATTCTCCTCTTGTGCTGTTGAGCACTGTTTGATTGGTTCCGGCTCAGTGCCTCTGTAAGACAGAGACGAATTGTCCCATCATGTTTTCAAGGCTCTAATCCTTACACAACAGACTCACATCTTCCTCCTGTGCAGCAGCTGGTGGTTTGGAATCCCTGACATTTCAGTTAACAGCTGAATGCTTAACTACTGCACCACTAGGACTCTCTTTTGCTGCTGCGAGGCAGGTTGTGTAACTCCCTCCCCCCTTCCCCCTCTTGTGTAGCGTTGAATCAGATCCGACTGACAAAGGAGGAGGTGCCCTCCTTCTCCAGCCAAGCATCTGGTAGATTTCAACTGTGTGCCTTTGAAATTGCAGCTTCTAGGCCACCAGAGCTCCCTAGGTTGTATAACTCTTGTATCTGACTTTGATAACATACATGCCATTGAGGGGAGGTATGGAATTAGAATTCTTGCCTTCCATGGGGGTGGCCTGGGTTTGATTCCCAGCCAGGATACTTCAAGTACAGCCCTCATCTGTCTATCACCAGAGGCTTGTGTATGATGATGATGATGATGATGATCAGATTTCAGCCTCCTATCATAAGACAGACTAGGAAGAAAGGCCTGGTGATCAACTGCTGAAAACTAGCCAGTGAGAACCCAGTGGATCAAGTGATGCAATCCAGTTGTCTACAGCTTGCAGTGAGCAGAAGCTGGTGAGGCTAACAATAGCTTACTACTGTAACCTCGATTTCACCCTCATAAAATAAGCTGTTTAACTTCAGCACCTTTTACTTCCAGGACTACCATGTGGTTTTGCTTCACGTCTCAAGTGATGGACAGAGTTTCATATATGATCTTGATACGGTCTTACCATTTCCCTGCCCCTTTGACACTTATGTGGAGGACGCCTTTAAGTCTGATGATGACATTCACCCACAGTTCAGAAGGTGAGAAAACGCAGGGTGCTTTTACTTACTTGCTGAAGACTTTGGCAGTTAGCCAGCTTTTTGTGCCTATCCCTAAAGATCACTTGTGTTTGTTTTTCTTTTGAAGTGATATTTCAGAGTGATGTGCTACATAGAAAATTCAGAACGTTTTGAAATTTCGAGGGCTATCCATCATGTAAAAGGTTGACCATCATTTCAAAACAATAGGATGACAACTCAGGCATTTTCTTGCAGACACATTGGAAATTTCTCTCATGCTTTTGTCTGTAGGGGAAATACCTTGATGCTGCCAAAAATGAGGAGGCCTTTTGTTCCATCTGCAACTGAGTAAATAAAAGTGACAGATATTTTTATCTCTTTGTTAGTTGAAGCATAGGAATGTTTTAGGTTTCCCAAAGCATATGCTGTATAACACATTGGTGGCCTTGTGGGTAAGTAGTTGGGCTGGTTACCCAAAGCAGACAAGTCTAACAGCTGCTTTGTGGGAGAAAGATGGGCAGTCGCCTCTAGTGATTTACAGCCTCTGAAACGTTCTGGAAGGTCAGCTATGAGCTTGTGGTTTCCACTGGACAATGACTTGCTTGTTGTGTATATATTTATATATATATATGAATATATATGTATGTATGAATATATATGTGTATATAGACATACATAGATAAGTGATAATATATGTTATATAACATTACATAATAAACATTATATATAATAACATTATGTATTATATAACATATGCTTTGGATATGTACGTGTAAAAGTATGCTGTTACATAATATGCTTTGGGAAGTATATATATTTTGTTTTATATTATCTGATTTATACACACTCGCCCACATGCTGAGACAAGGTTTATACTGCTTTGGAAGGAGCTCCATATTTTAGGTTTTTGTAGCATTGCATTCAGTCCTGTAAACCTGCCACAAGCTTTTTTAAAGGTTTTATCAACCAGTTAAGTGCCATTCTGGGCTCTTGAGTTAGGAAATGTGAATATTTTACCCTGACTAACAATACAAGTTGTGGGGAATGACAGAAGAAATGTGTGTGTTTTCTTATCATAATTGCGCCTTTGTTTTCCCTGCAGTGAAGGGGTAGGGGTAGGCTCGAGGTATGTTTAGGTGAATTGCTATAACTTGGTTTGAGGAAACCAGATTGAAGTGGTGGAAACTGAGATGAACCCTTTCACAGACATGTCTGAAAGATGCAGTTCTTGTACCAGCCACCTGTGCGTGGCTCAGTTTTTGAGGGCGTTTCTAAACCTTGGGCTGAGTTCACCCTCTTTCTGAGCGTTTTGCCATTTCTTGTTCCCATATACCCATGGGCTTAGCTCTTGCTCTCATGTTGTTATGGAAAAAGCTGGTTAATTTGAACTGAATTTGAAGACTAGCGCTCCATAAACAGAGCTGTTATGGTGCCCACAGGAGTTGATGAGCAAATGCTTACATGTTAGATGTTGATCTTGAAAAAGATGAGGACCCACAGGTGGATATCATGGTCCTCAGCAGCCCCTTTGACTCCATTCTCACTGCCAGGAATATTGTTGTCCATAACTGTCAGGTACATTTCACACTGCACTTGATAAAGCCATAATAGAATGTGTTGTTGTGGAAGCAGGTTGCCAGGCCTTTTCCACAGCGCTTCGGAGTGAGTTGGCCCTGCCAATCTTTCATTTAGCACCTGCGTGCTTGATCATTGTCTCTCTAGGAAGCTTAGAGCCTGGGAAACGTTAGGGGGCAATTCTGCTTTGTCACACAGGGTCACGGTGAGTTTGAATCAACTCAACAGTGTGTTGCAGCAGTGACAGTATTAAATTGTACATAGGAAGGAACAGCAAAACCTCAACACTGTGAAAGTGAAACATGAGCATTGTAATTGCCTTCTGCTAAAAAAATTGCAAGTTGCAAAGCTGGGGTAGTGATCCCTGGTGGAACGGTGTGGTACCTGGAAGGAGTGTGAGCAGTGAAGCTCACCCCGGAAGGCTGGCACCTGCTAGAAGCAGAGGTGCAGATGAAGTCACAGAGCGAGGGGAGCCCAGGATGGGTAAAGCGTCTTGGACTCTGGGGGCTGGACAGCACTCAACCCACCTAATTGCTTACTGTCCTTTAAACTTTTATTTTTGGTTAGGAAGTGAAGTATCTACAAAGGTACATGAATGTGCTATATGTTTCCAACCTCAGTTGTTAATAACAACTGGCCAGCTTTTATTTTTTCTGTCATTTAAACCATGATTCCTCCACACCCTTCCCTACATTTTGACGTGGACGTCAGACATTTTACCATTTTGTTTGTAAATGTTTCATATGCCTTTTCTAAAAATTAGATTTATTATTATTTTAAAATCTTGCTAATGTATTTAAACATAGTCATAGTTCTATGACCATATCAACAAATGAACAGAATGCTCCCATCATCAGATAACTGAATTGAATAACTTTTAATGTCTTCAGTTATTGAAAAAGAAATGTTGCTTCTGTCAGTAGTTGATCTTCACAGCAGCCCTTGGGACAGTTACTCTCAATAAGCCCATTTTATGGTGGGAGAAACTGAATCTCAGAGAACTTAAAAACCCACACGTTCTGGTTAGTGTTGGGCTTACTTACATGTTGTAATTGTGCATCTAACTCCTGCTTATTGTTGCTTATTTTTAATTAAAACAAAAGACTCTGGTTAATTTTTATTTTTACCACTAGTTGTTGGATTTATAGTTTCTTTCAGTTAGCTTTGTTTGATGTAGTTGGAGCAGGAGATAAACCAGCAGTGTATACACGTCAAGCCCCTTAAATGGCACAGAGCCAAGGATTTCAGTGGGCCATTTTTCTTGTAACACAGCCACGTGCCTATTTATGTATCACTAATGGAACATAAGTACACACAACAAAAATGAGCCCATGTTAATACTGAATTAGAATGTCAAGCGGACACTTCCCTAATCCAGATGTATGTTGATTCATCGGCAGGAAATTTAGAGTGATCCGGGCAGACTTGTACTTGAAGCACTTCGCGTCTGACCGTTCACACATGAAAGATTCCAGTGGGAATTGGAGAGAGCCGCCCCCACCCTATCCCTGCATTGAAACTGGAGGTGAGTTAAGGAGACCTTCACAGAGGGCTTCGAGTCCTGATGCAAGTCAACGTGTTCTCTTCCACAGGGGTGGAAGGGGGGGGCCCTTTGGTTGAAACTCCTTGAGTGGTCAGGAGGTAAGAGGGCCAGAGCTTTGTGGTTTTTTTCCTTCCATTCTGAAGGGGAGACCCAGAAAGCAGAACTGACGGGCATAAGCATTTATGAGAGAAGAAAGGTGTGTGAGCTGTGGTGCTTGCAGGCTCTTGGAATATTGGATGTTGCCTCTAGCCATACTGGTTCAGTGCTCAGTCCTTACCTTCTGAGCAGGAAGCCGGGTTCACTTCCTGCCTGGTGAAGTTCAAGTGTAGCCACCACCTGTCTGTCATTGAAGGCTTGTGTGTTACTGTTTTCTAGGGAGTTTGCAGGACAGTTTTCTAGGCTGGACAGTTTTCTAGGGAGCTTGCAGACTAAGATGGACTGGGAGGAAAGACCTGTCAATTTTCTTTTTTATATTGTCAGTGTATTTCATAGACAGTGTATTTCACACATTCCTTCACTCACGTTGTGTTTCATACATCAACAATCCACTTTTAAAAATAAGTCCGTGAAAGGAGCTCTGGTGGCCTAGTGGCAAGAAGCTGCACTGCAGTCCCAAAGGTGCGAGGTTCAAATCCCCTCGGTACTTCGCCAGAGAAGGAGGGGCAGTCTCCTCCTGTGCCAGTCAGATCTCATTTGACAGTATACAATAAGAAAGAGAAAAAAACAAACCCAAAAACCCCAACCAACCAAACAAACAAAAATAAGCCCGTGAAACCCTGTAAACCACAGCAGTCTGGTTGCAGCTAATTATGAGGATGACGAAGGACACTTTTGTTGTTTGTACCTAAGACTGGCACGGGGTGGGGGAGTCGCCTTGATGTCACCAGACAACCACCATCATCGTCACATTGAACTTCAGAAGATCTGCATCGTTTCCATAGCAGGACCAGTAGCTTCTTCCCCTGGCAGGATTGCAGGTTATGTTAAAAGACATCTCCCCCGACTCCTCAGGGTGTGCAGGGCGTCATTTCATTGACTTGTGGGTCAGATCTCCATTCCAGGAGATGAGAGCTGGCGTGTAAGTGCTTTTAGGCATCAGTCCAGTTTATAATTTCCTGAGATTTAAGAAGCTGACGGGTTCCTCACCCCCTTGCTCTTGTTTGGCTGCCACATAAGTTCAAACCATTATTTGTGGTGATTAGTAATTCCCAGCATTGCAATTCGTTGGCCAGGTATTCCCATCTCATGAATAATACTGCCTGTGTGAAAGAGCTCCGTAAACCGAGCCCCATGCCAGGAAAACAGGGGTGTCATGTTAGTGTTTCAGTAAGGAAGACAGTGGAAATATATGTGGTATTTCTGGAAGAAGTTCACATTGAAAGGGGAGTCAGTCTCTCCGGGACGTTTCCCTTGGAGAAGCTCTCAGAGTGGAGTTGCTTGTTGACCCACAAGCCGGCTTCCCAGACTCAGTGCTAGATCCAGAACAGTGTCCAGATTAGGTGAGGACTTCACATGCATAACTCTGTCTCTGGTGCCTAGTGTTGCCACAACAGAACACATGAGGAGGACTTTAAAATACAGAACTTTATTTTCTAGAAGTTTTGGAGACTGGAAGTAAAAATCAGGGTCTTGACTTCCTTGGGCTTCACTCCTTGTTCCTGGTGCTGGCGGACAGTCCTTGGCTAGCCTTTGTTTGAAGATAGGTCTGCACTTGGCAGACCCCTATTTTTTACCAGTTTAAGACCCACTCTGTGCTCACCTGACCTCATTAATCTCACATGGCAAAAGAAACCCCTTATTTCACACTCCCATAACAAAGAAACCCCTCATCCTATCCTAAACTAATTGCCCTGGAGTCAGAACCAACTCCAGGGTCTAGCTGACCCTCCAGCGGTTTTCGGAGTTTGTAAACCGACTCATAGCTGGCCCTCCTGTGGGTCTTCATAGTCTGTAAATCGCCTGGGAAGGAGATGGTTCACCTTTGTTCAGTGGAGCCTGGTGAGCTCGAGCTGCCAACGAGGTACCACTTTTGAGTTGGCAGCATGACTCTCCACATACCACACCATCAGAATTCTCTTTGTCCCACATTGGGCTGTGTTTACGGGTCTTAGGAGATAGGACTTCAGGGGACACAGTCCCTAACACCCTCTTAATCTCAGACAATAGGCTGTATGATTCTTTTGTTATATCTCTAAATTAGTTGATGTTTTGTTAAACTCATATGCTGCTAAACCCATCCAGTTCTTCTTCTCTCACTGTTTTTAACAGACATTTTTTCTTGTTTACTGCTGTCACTGGCCTTTTACCTTCATTCTTCTCTTCCTCATGTTCGTTTTCATGCTTCCTTTCTACACGTGAAGCTGTTTCATGGTCCTCGTCTGCCAGTTCCATTATCTCTGTCATTTCAGGCCCATATCAGTTTGATTTCTTTTTCCTCCTGGTCTAGGCCATATTTCCTGCTTCTGTCTGTTATTTGTAATAGTTGAGAGGAGGCTGGTTTTGCAATTGGTACATTTTGAGGCATTCTTTAAAATACTGTTGACTTTTGTTCTGGCAAGGAAGTAAATTACCTGAGTTCATTTTAATTCTTTTGAGATTGTATTTAAGTGTAAGTGCATGTTCAGAACAACGTTTAATGTGGTCCTAATTCAGCCCCTTTGCGTGATTTAAGTGTTATCAAGTGAAGATAGTTCTTGGAGAAGGACATGAGCTGTGATACAATAGAGGATCAGTGAAAAAGAAGCCAGTTGGTGGGATGAATTAGTACAGAGGCTGCAAAACTGGGTGCATGTCCAGCACGGGGGTGGTTAGGACAGACTGAGCTCCATCCTACAGTGCGGGGATGGTGCAGGACAGACAGAGCTCCGTCCTACAGTGCGGGGATGGTGCAGGACAGACAGAGCTCCATCCTACAGTGCGGGGATGGTGCAGGACAGA